TAACATACTTTGGACATGTTGCAAGGAGGGACTATCCTTGGAGAGGGACATCATGCTTGGGAGGGTGGAGGGACAGCGCAGAAGGGGAAGACCCTCTATGAGGTGGATAGATTCAGTGACTGGGGTAATTGAGGTGGGTGTTTCGGAGACGGTGCGATTGGCACAGGACAGAGCAGAATTTAGGGATGTTGTACATAGGGTCGCTATGAGTTGCAAGCGACTTGACAGCACATAACAAGAACAACAACAACTTTATACTCAGAATTTATATCTAAAGTTCTCGCACTGATGATATTGCTGTGTGACAGTCTCTGGGCTGTTCGTCCTATCTGTACCTCAATGGTTTTGTTTTTTGGGTTTTTTTTCCCTTGGTCAATTCTTACCTTACAGCATTGAGGATTAAATGAAATAATTTGATAGAAATCTCCTAGCAAACCCCTCAGTAGATATTAAGTTCTTATCCAGAGTCATTATTATACTTTTTTTTTTTAAAAAAAGAAACACATTTTTGGCTAGAGATAAAAATATTGTACTGAACACCCCTATAATAGTAGCAGAGAGCAGTGCTGGGCGTCTGTTTCCATCATTGTGGGGTTCTTTCTACTGCCAAGCTCTGAATATAATGCAGCTTCTGTGTTCTTTAAACTTCCAGGTGCAAATGGAATACAAGAAATGGTTTAGTAGGTTACAGAAAGGCGCTGAAATGGAAAGTACTGAGCTGTTTCACTCTACTATCCACAGCAGAGTGGTAAGATGCAATTCTGTGAACTTGTCTGACCCCAACATCTTGTTATCCTAGGAGTTTTCTGATCCCCGGATCTGAAAGGAGAGAGATCTCATTAGGTTCCTACCATTATGCAGCTGAAGATTTCTGGGATTTTGAGACCAAACAAGAATAAGGTTTTTTTTCCTCTCCCTCCCTCCTTCCCTCCCTTCCTTCACTTCATTCCTTCTTCCCGTAGTTCTTAGTCACTTCATCTCTCCTTGTTCATTCCTTTACCTTATTTCTCTCCATTTATTCCCCTCTTTTCTTTCTTTCCTTTCTCCCCCCTGCCCTCATTCCTTTTACCCCTTCCCTTTTTCTTTGCTTCTTTCCCCATCTTACTCCTTGTTAGAGGATATTTATTAAAATATCCTTATTTATTAACAAACGTTTATTAGACATCTAATATTAGATCACGAGAAAACAATGTTAAAATCTTGACTGAGCCTCACAGTTGCTATGATTATTTTAAGTAGAGCCTGAGTTAAAATCCAAGATTCATCATTCAGGTTACTCAGCGGGTTGCTGTGAGTTACAGTCAACTCTATCGTACATAAAAACAACAACATGGGTGAGCTCTGGTGGCCTAGTGGCAAGAAGCTGCACTGCAATCCCAGAGGTGCATGGTTCAAATCCACCAGATGCTCTGCTGAAAAATGTGGAACAATTTCCTCCTGTGCCAGTCAGATCTGATTTGACAGTACACACACACAAACAAGAAAATAAAATAAAATTTTAAAAAAAACCAAAACAAAACACAACAACATGAACAAGTGATTTCTCTAGCCTCAGATTCCTCATAAGGGGACAATAATACAGTCTTATCTCATTATGAGGATTGAATGAGGTTATATAAGTGTTCATATAATGCTCATAGTCCACACAAGAAACACTGTGTTTGTGAAAAGATGAAATGATAATATAAACTAAAAAAGTACCATTAGTGTTTGTGTTCTTCGGGGGAAAGCTGCAGAATTAGATATTGGAGCATTTTTACTCAGCATTGGATATGCTAGCTTGTCAACCCTAGGCATGCTAGAAGTTGTTAATTTTTGGTGGGTTACTTTCTCAGTAAGTGTTGAGGACTCTCCTTCCTAGGGTCGCTTTGAGTCGCCTACAACTACACGGCACTTAACATCATCATCAACATAGAGCACCATCAGTTGGCCCAGAGGCCAGAAAGCAATGCTACCAAACCAAAGGTGAGTGACTTTTAATCCACCACCCTCGGGCTTATCTTTCATTGTTTTTGTTCAAACATTCTTGTAGGTCGTATAGCTCTGGTGTGTCCATTTGCCTTACAGTGGTAACTTGTGGTTGCTGTGAAGCTGAATACTGTGACACTGATATGTCAAATGACTTAATGGTTACCCATTGCAGACAGTGTTTGGCGGAGCTCCCCGATTGAAACAAGCTTGGAAGCAGGAGTGGCATCCACTTCTGTAATAGCTTGCCTCTGGAAACTCTATGAACCTGGAGAAAGAATGAAAGTCACACAAGTGTTGAGGACTCTCCTTCATAGGGTCGCTATGCTTCGTCTACAACTCGATGGCACTTAACAACAACAACAACAACACAACAACAACAACAACAATTTCTCAGTAGAGACCTTGGGTGGTCCAAGTAGCATGCTTGATGCTAGCCAAAAAAATCTGGAGTTTTGAGATTTCCCAGAGGCACCAAGGAAGAAGGCTTCCTGGCTGTTTTCCTGAAAATCAATCATTAAAATTCTATGAAGTTCAATTCCTCACTGACTTACATGAGGTTGGAATTTACTTGACAGCAATTCTTTTGATTTCAGAATTAATTTTCAATTTTTTCTGAATATTATACCCCCCACTTAGGAGGAACAGGAAGGCACAGTCCATAAAAGATATACGAAAGACACTGCATCTGTCCAACCACAGCTGCCAATTCATCGGGTTGGTATTGTTTGGCTAAAACTGGAGAGATGATCTGCTCATCGATGACGCCTCCTTGTGGTCATTCACGGAGCAGACAAATGCCACTGTGTGCATATCTTTCCTGTAAAGTTCAGACTCATTTCCTTATTTTAGCATCTCTCTCTCTTTGGAAAGAATTAGACACATGGAGAAGGCTCACAGTGGGTTACAAGTATTTAAGATACACTGCGGGGTTTTGTACCTTAATTTCCTCTTCCATTAACATGAACTCACTGCCTTGCAAGTTTCAGATAGCCTTTAAAGTTCTTTTTATTTTGAGGTGATATATTTTGGTATTTTTTTCCCTTTCGTTTATTCATTGTTGCACATTTTCTTCCTGTACCCCACTCTGACAAGCCCACCCGGCAATGCATTCCTGTTGGAGATTGTTCTCCATATAATAACATAATGCATGATCATATAGTCCTTTTGGATACTTCTTTCCATATTTTGGTCTTAAGAGGGCATAGTGCACAAGATAGACATAGTTTACTAGTTAAGTTAAACTATAGTTTTAAGAAGAATTCCGGGGATTTTTTTGGTTTAAAGACTATATCTGGGCAATGGTTTAAGGATTTCATGTTCCAAGAAAGTTCAGAGTTCAGGAGAATTGGAAATTCTTCTGGTTTTCCTCCCTTTTCTTATTATATTTTTTTCTCCAGAATACTCAACTAAAATGTTCAGTAACGATAGGTAAGCACCATCTAGTTCTCCTGGACTCACAGCAAGAGGAAGATTTACTGTTTCAGAGTAGACAACTGGTCATACATTCCGTATCTTCCTCCTAGCCCTGATGTCCACTTGCTGTACAGAGGTAACTCGTGGTTGCTGTGTCGCCAAACACTGTGACACTGATGAGTCAAATGCGAGAATGGTTACCCATCGTGGACAGTGTTTGCTGGAGCTCCCCAATTCAAACAAGCTTGGAAGCAGGTGTGGCATCCACTTCCATAAGAGCTTGCCTCTGGAAACCCTATGAACCTGAAGAAAAGATAAAAGTTATACAGGTGTCCACTTTCATCCATAGGGAGGCTATGAGTCACCTATGACTCGATGGCACTAAACAGTAAAAACAACACATCCCTGATTCATCTTTCTCAGATGCTCCAATTGTTATCCACGGTTGGCTTGCAAGCTTTTAAGATCCCAAGCTTTATGTAATGAAGTAGGAGGTAGAAAGTGAAGCACCGAAAACTCTGTTGAAAAATTACAATTTACCTACAAGTTCTACTTCCTCCATCATTTTGCTTCACAGGGTTTCTCTGGGTGAATCAGAATCCATCAGGTGTCTGTTGTTGTTGATTGCCATCAAGTTGAGTGTCACTATCTGTTCGCCAGCAACCTACAGCGACACCCTGATGGGGGTAAGCATGACAGAGATACACCACTCCAGGAGAGGATCAGAGAGTCAATCCAGTTCAAATTTATTGGTACTGCACTGCACTTATATACACAGGAAGACCAGATAGGGTGGGCTTACAGATGTAGGACATGTGGATTGGTCAGGAGAACCTCAGCCTCATGCGGACCACTCCCAGCTCAACAGATGTGGCAGCCGTCTTCCCATGTGGTGAGATTTCTCAAGCTGGTACTGCCAAACACCGGGGATCTTTCTCTACTCTGTATTAAAGACTGTTGGGAGGATTGCACTTATCAGGAGCTTAGGCGATCTGTCCTGGCCAGAGACCCTTCCTTCCTCCCCAACATCCCACAACAGTTGAGCACGACTCATAGTGACCCTGTAAACAAAAGACCTGAAGCCCTTTTATAACTACCATAATTTCTCAGAGTTCATAGAGTTTCCAGAGGCATGTGGATCTAGTTGGGTTCAGTCAATAAAATGTGTTGACTGAAGATTGGAAGAAGAAGAAAGAAGAAGAATGTGGTGTGGTGTTAGCTTAAAAGCTGGCTTTTCCATCTGTTATATTAGCCCCCTCTGGTCTGCAGCTACCTTAACTTAAGACACATTGTCTTGCAAATTATCAAGAGCTGAAGAACTAGGATAAGAGAGATAGTGATTCCCACACTGAACAATAAGATTTGAGGGAGACTGGTGCAAGATTTTGGTGGCAGCAAAACCCTTGTGAAACTGAGACCTGGTGATGGTGGTAGAGAGATAGTGGTATAGAGTGTGGAGAAACTGTGGCAAGGTGTAACCAGAGGACCCCTGAGATAAAGGCCACTGTTAAAGGTTTTGCTATTCTTATTGAATGACAGAAGGAGAAACTGATTTATAACTGCTCTGAAGTGAACCTTGCTGGATGATTTGGATTTGCGCTACTGAACTGAACTGGGACTTTCATTAAGGAATTGTATTTTGCTGTTAAACTGGCTTGGGATTGCTGGACTTAACGTGGACTTGCATGATGAGATATTCTTTGTCTCTCCCACTTCCCAAACTATTTCCCTAATAAAACCCACTCTTGGTACCACAACTGTGAGTAAAGTCTGTGAATTAACAATGAATATGAACCCAGTGCAGGTGCGGGAGCATGGGGGTAGCTTATTTGACCTAGTAGTTATCTGTTGGCTACTATGGATATTATTGATGGGAATAGTTTCCCTTTATGAAGTGGTTAGAAGTCAGACTCAGCCACGCTCATGTTTCATTAGTTCCTTTTGAATGTGGAGATGTTATTTCTCCAGCTCCTTCCTTGATGCAAAATGAATTGGTTGTATCTCGCCACTGAAACATCTGTAGCTTTTTTTCATTGTTTTTGTAATCTATCTCTTCTTCTACCTCTCACAGGTCTAGATGTTGCTAATAATGATACATGTTTCTATTTCTTGGGTGCTCTATCATCCTCTGTGGCTTTGTCTTAATTTCTACTTTTTTATAAACATGG